TAGCAATCCGCTACCTCGACCTCCGGGGCGAGAAAGCCCCGTTCGTAAGTGCGGATCCGACATAAGTCGGATCCGCGTAAGTCGGGGACTGCCTGTATTAAAATACTCCCAGGGTTAGGCCAGCAGCCAGTGCACTCCCGGCCCCACTCCTGGGGACCCCTGCCACACCGTGTTGCTGCTGGTGTATCGGGCTTAATCCAAATGACTACATGCAACCCCACCCCACTTGCTGCCTCTGTATCAAAGGCAGCAAGCAGGGGGAGGGGGGGAAAAGGAAGGGAGGAGGCGTGAGCTGGTGCCCCTGGGGAGCCAGCTTTTAAACCAGCTCCCTGCGCATTCCAGTTCCCACAGAGCTATCTATCCCCACCTCCGCTACCTTCCACAGAGACAGCATCACAGGCAGCTTTTAAGCTAGCTCCCCACAAGCACCGGATCCCACGGAGCCATCTTCCCTCCAATCTGCATGCTGCTTCCTCTGATAGGCAGCAGTGAGGGGGACAGGTGGAGCCAATCCACAATGAGAGTTGGTGTTAAAAAAAACAAACAAAAAAACTACGGCTCCCTACACAGATCAGATCCCGCCTGCTGCCTTGCACTGTTGCCACTGATACAGAGGCAGCAGTGGGAGGGGGGAGGAGGGCAGGCAGGATGCCAGAGCAGCCTCTGTCTGCAGGGAGTTTGAGGGCCCCCCATGGACAGGGGCTGGTGCTAACCCACACTGCTGCCTCTGTATCAGAGGCAGCAGTGCAAGGTAGCAGGCGGGATCTGATCTGTGTGGGGAGCCTGTTTTTTGTTTGGTTTTGCTTTTTAAAAAGACAGCATTTAAAACTGAAACAGAGGCAACAGTGCGGGGGCAGGTGGCTCTGCAGTCAGAGCTTTTAAAAGCTGGCTCCCCCCTGCGCTGCCTCTGTTGGAGGTAGCAAGGGTGGGCAGGTGGCTCCGCAGGAGCTGATACATGTGGAGCTTCTCGTGTGTACTGTTTCCAACCTACCCCCCTCATTGCTGTCTATCAGAGGCAGCAGCGTGGGGGTTGGAGGGCAGGTGGGATCTGGTGCTTGTTGGGAGCTGGCTTAAAAGCTGGCTCCCGCCTGCCCCCTGCGATGCTGTCTCTGCAGAAGGTAGTGGAGGTGGGAACAAGTAGCTCTGGGTACAGTGCTGGCTTAAAAGCTGGCTCCCCAGGGGCACTGGTTCCTGCCTCCCTCCCTTTGCAGCCTTTGATACAAAGGCAGCAAGGGGGGCAGGGTTGTGTGTAGTCATTTGGATTAACTGAAAAGCCTAGGCTTATCGGTTAACAGTTTCAACAGCTATACGCTAACATCCCTGCTTTTAAGGGTTAAACCAAGAGACCAAAGGCCTCCCAGTTGGCTTTCTGGGGGTTCTCAAGGAGGCACATTTACATGTCCTCTAATAGCACTTGAGCAGCAGTGTCTCCTTACCCCTTTTTTCTGGTTCTCTCTTTCAAAGTGTGTGGGTCTGATGCCAAAGACTACACACTTAGACAGTCAGCTGCTACATTGACTTTTGCACTTCTCCCAAGAAACCTTCAGTGATGATTAAGAGCTACAGTCTAATTTTCTTTTAATCATATTAAAATTCAGGCCTCCATTCAGTAAACTGGGATGTAGTCTGCTTTAACTCCCACAAAGCAGGGACCATGTATGTACTGTACATGGTTAACTGTATTATCGACTCTCAGAAAGCTAGTGTTCTGCTTATTATGTTGGCTATAATGGAGTACAAAGCAAGAGTCAGGCTCTCTATATATTGGCACTCTTAAAATATGGCTCATACTAACACTGTTACATAGCCAGCATAGGCCCGACCGGAAGCATTTTGGAAAAATTGCACTAACTTCCAGGGGAAAGTATAAACCTCCAAACAAACCTTGGTAATCATCAGGTTCCTCCATTAAATCCCTACTGAGACAAATGGGGATAATTCACTCTTCACTATTGGTCTGCAGATCCAGTTAAGACAGCACCAAATAGGGACAGGCAGAAAGCAAACACATTTTTAAAATTAAACCTTAAATTTAACTTAACTAGGCAGGGATTAAATTCTATGTAAGAGAACGCAAATCCACAGATTTACATTGCTACCTTGAAATCATCAGTGTTAAAAAAACAAAACAAAAAATGTGATCTACAAAAATTAGGTTTTATTTTTAAACCTGTAGTGCTTGATTGGGAGGTAATGGCTCTCTCAATTTGGTGTTAGGTCTCATTATGTATAACCTCTGAGTTTTAAAATTCAGAACAGAGATTAATACGAATAGAGGAACTGTGACTACTCATACATTTTTCCTTTACTTATACTGGAAAGATTTTGTATGCAGTATCATACATGACCATCAAAATGCTGCAAGAATGCTCACACCTGCTACTGCATGGGGCAGACTCTAGAAAGGAGTCTGCATAAGATTATTCTAGGGCAAGAGATCAGGCCGGCTGGTACAAGGTTGTGTTTGCAAGGACCCAACCACACAGCAGCCTTTTCCCAGGCCCTGTGCTCTCTACAAAGCCTGCCAAATTCCTAACCTTTTGTACAATTGCCTGTTGCCATGGAAGAAATAGCAAATCCTAAGTCAAACTTTAATTAAATGGTTAAAGAGTTACCTCAAATGAGCTGCAGCACCAGAAATGGGTTTGTTGCACCTTAGTCCCAATACAATTCAGGATGGAGGTGGAAATGGTTTCTTTATTTAGGCAATGGACCTGGCAAGAAATTCTGAGACACAAAATGATCAAAGATCAAAACCAGA